GGCCAGCTCCGCGAGGCGACAGGTTGGCTGTTTCCATCGGGCAGTGCACGAACCGTCAAAAATGTGACAGATTTTCACACCTTTTCGGCAAAGAGAAGAAGATGAACAAGCGGAAGAATGGACAACTTGTCGCACTCTGTCTCGGCCAGAAAAGGGAGGTGTAGGCTGCAAACGTTGGGGGGGGGGCAAAGTTGGGCTAAATTCAAAGACTCTGAGTGCAACAATTATTCTACTTTGTCGGACAAAAGTGCGTATTCTGATGCATTTCGGCCTACCCGAGGACAGTTCATCGTCTCCATGGTAAGTACATGTTTTATTGGACTTGTCCGGAAAAGCCTGTGCCCGTCTGTGAATCTGGCTAAAATTAGCCTCTCACTGCAAATCCAAATGAAAGTGATTCTGTCTAAAGTCATCAAGACGCATTTCGACAATGTCGAACATTTTTCGATATTCAGTGGGTTCTCGAGACTACCAGCAATGCCGTCGATTGATGCATCAAATGTATGCTTGCATCATGGACAATCGCCAACACAGAAAGTGACATGGAAAATGTATGCGAAGAAAAGTTGCGTTTCGGGACACAAGATTGAATGGTCTCAAACTTGTCGTTTTGCTGACTATGGCATGTCTGCGGCTAAAGGTAAAATGAGAGAAGCCATCGAAATAAACTGAATAGGAAATAACTTAATTGTAAGGAATGCCGGCAAGAAAATGAGTAAAAACTATTTGTACTTAATTAAAAGACTGAAGGATAGAGAGGGAGTTAAACCGTCTGCAGAAAGGAGGCGACGCAACTAATCTTTTCTTGTAATGAGAATATAATCTCTTCTTGTTTGGGTTCTAATGATAGTCAATTGGCTGTACTTTTAGCTGACTTTTTCTCTCTCGCATTGAGACAAAAAACTAAAAATAGGCTAATCAACAAAACCAGACGAGTGTCCGATCTTGCGCAATCGGAGTTATGATTATAACATGTTTGCAGAAAGGGGGAGATTGGGTCATCAAACCTTGATGGCCAAAAGCAGACGTTCCTTTTTGATGTACTAATTACTTTGAGCCATCACTTCGGGTTTCGTGCATAAGCGAACACAAACAGGCACATAAAAATACAGAGACAGACACACTCACATGACATATGACCTCAATTAACCAAATCACTTTCTACTTGATCAAGAGGCCAGATTTAGAGTATACCACTTTTTAGGGATTTGCCGGTGAATTTTCTTGACACTTAAATTTTGTTGTAATGATGATACTCTGCTCTGATGATGTTCGTCACATGCACCTTTTCACCGGAATCGAAGGAGATTGCCTCGGAAACAGAGTCAGCATGAATGTTGCAGTAAAACCAATCGTCAGCTGGTCAAGAGGAATCGGCCGTCGTCTTCTGGTGGAATCGACCTTCGAATCTCTTCACGCAACACTTTCACTCGAAATAAAAGTAAGCTCAATAATTGTGAAACAAAAGATTGCTTGAAAACCAACTTTTCTTCACATAAACTCGCCTGAAAATGCCTAAAAA